AACATTTGCACAGTTTGAACAGGACAGGTAATGACAGTACCTGGACACAAACTTGGTAGCAGGAGGCACAAGGTGCCTAACCAGCAGGCTAGAGACGGATGAATCATGTCCCTTCTCAGCCTTCCTGGGTTTCTGATTGCAAACAATCACCCTGCACAGAACAGATGGCTTCTTCACAAGACCTAAAGCTCACAGATGCTTTTGTGGGGCAAACAGAGGTGCTGCCTGCTAAGAACAGGGCTGGTACAGCTTGATGCTAGATGGCGGGATGGGGGGGCTGAGTTGTGCTTTTTTCTCCCTTCTACCTGCATTTACATTAACACACGGCTAGAGGACAGCACTGCTCAAAGCAGCTGCAGAGCCAGCTCCCAGTCTCAGGAAGGGAGCACTGTGTGGGCAGGGGAGAGAAAGGGCAGAAGTGTTATTGGATTTGGGAACGGGGACAGCTGTCTGAAGAATGCAGGCACAAACCTGATTTTTGTAGAGATTACAAAGACAGCAACAACAATATACTGAGAGAGGGTTCAGGGACCTGCTTTTGTCTGGGCATCTTGCATCGATCAAGTGGAAATGGCTGTACCTTTAAGATCTTAGCGTTGAAGGGGCTCTTTGTACAAGCAATCAAAACTCAATCATGCCCACAGTGAATTGGGGAAAACATCGGTATTGTCAGTTATGCAGTACTGCACAAAAGAGCTGCCTTTATTGTGCATTTTAAAAACCTAATACATTCAGGAAGATGAGGCAGATTTATTAAGGGCTTGATCCTGCCCTTAAAATAATAGTGAGCCAACACACCATAGCAGAGCTCCCAGTGCATTCAGAGCGTCCTTGATACATGGCATCTATCATATTAATCATTTCATCTGAACCACTCTAGGCTCCTGCAGGGGGTTGGTCTCTAATAGCTCTAAATATATTGGTTTAAAAGGAGCCTGGCTGTTAGCTTATAACAAAGCTAACCACAAAGACTCCTACAGGCAAGATTTCTAGACCAAGGCAGCCGCTCCTCCAGTCTATTCCCGTCATACTTCCCTTCTCGCCCATTTCCCCGTGTCAGGCTGAAATACACCAATATTAAAACACAGTTTTTAAAAGAGAGACTAGGGGAACTATCATTTTATTTCTGAACTACAGCAATTAATGAACCTTAATTACACAGCGTGTATCCCCAAGTACATATTTTTAGTCCTCCAGGGTGACATGTTTAAGGTCTATTACTTGAGGTCTACTCATGCAAACCCAGCTAGCTTTTCCAGTAGGTGTATGCCACACAGCTATATTTTAGCATATCAAAAGCACCGACTCAGACTCTTTCCCCAGTGCCCAGCAACGCAAAGCTGCTTCAAGGTGGAAGGCGCTGCAGATTGCTGAATGACCCAGTTTGTTCTGGCTGAGCAGCTCCCCCAGGGAGAACCATCTGCTGTTGTCCTAATTTATTCCATTAGTCACAACCCAATACAAATCGCATTAGGGATAACAGGCCAGTGTTACTTATAGAACGCAGCGCACATCTCATTCAGCAACAGTCATGGGGTGGCCATCTCCTTTCCACATCTCTTTATTGAGTGGCGGAGGCTTCGGAAATGTGTACTTACAACTCGTGGATAAACAGTACAAGAGACCACGATAAAGGGTGGGCTGCATCACATACTGATCTGCTAATGAACTTCAGACAGATCCACCCCTGTAGTCTGAAATCAAACAGGTTAGGCTGGACTCTAACATGCATAATGCGTTTGTATCGGACAGAAAAGATTAAGTCATGAATTTAGTAGATACCAGTTAAAAACGGACTCAAGTCAACAAATATTTCCTTAATTCAAGTGTTAAGTTCATTCTAATCCAAACTGGAAAGTTCATCATTTGTTTTATGTTAGGCTCAAGCTAAGAAAAATGAAACCACGGCCCCTTGACGTGCTTTCAAGAGCTTTGCCTCCTCGCATCAATTCCACACGAGAGAACAATGCAGCACAGAGGAGGAAAGGCGGATATTCCAGCTGCCACGGCGGCTCTGCTCTGGCATGCATTTGTCATGTCGACTGGGAGCCCTGTGTTTCTCCGCATCAATTCTGCCCTGCTCCACAGGGTGGACGCGACACAAGGCAGCGGAGGAAAATGGAGGGGCCTGCTAATTTCAGTTTCTATTATATTTTAAAAAGAAAAACTGGCAAGTCTCATCAGACATGCAGCAGGCACAAAGCCATATTTTTAGCTTAAACTAGAAAATATGGGGGATGTTATCCAAATCCAACATATGTATTTTTTTTTTTTTTTAAATGGCGCTCCCAATGCACAAGCACCCTAGTTCCTACGAGCTCACCTCACACCACAACCTGGTTGTCTTTGTTCAGGTCTGGGGTAATATTTTGGCAAGGCAAGACAGGACAGAGGTGCATTGGTACAGCTCGGAGAAAACCCTGAGCTCTACACAGAGAACACGACGCTCCGCCTCATCCATCAATAGCCCCAGTTCCCTGGCACAAATGCTAAAATTCACCCACAAATGAACAGTGGTCAAATCAAAAGCACAGCAGCCAAGCCAATGCTGCAGAGAGAACGTGAGGTATTAAACATTTACTGGCATAAAACAAACAGTGCTGCCAGGTCTTTACCGAACGTTTAAAAATTAAAATCCTTTGGAATTTCTGTAGGTATATGGCCGAGTCCCTGTGGGTGCACCACACAATAAACCAAATGGAGGAGATGAGAACAGCTATGCTGCGGGGTTTAAGGAATAAAAAGAAAGCTGGAGATGCACAATTCTCACTTGGAGTGGGATTTAAAGAGCCAGCTGAATTAAATGGAAAGAGGATGCAAAAGGACACGTTCCATATGTGTCAGAGGCTGCAAGAGTGGGCTTTTTAGATGCATATCTGGTACAGATTGACAATTTCTGGTCGTTACATATAAAAAGCCTAAATGGGAGCCTGATCCACCAGAGCACCTACTGAAAGTAATTCCATACAGACAAGCCTCTGCTGCAGCTGTTACCCATTACACTAGATTTTTAAGCTGTCTAAGAACAGCACAAGCTACGCAACATGAAATTACCACCGGCCAACACACACCAATCAATCTGTAGTTCAAGTCCTATGAAACAAAGCTCTCACCGTTACTGCTGTCTAACACTGCACTCCGAACACAGGCGGGAAGTCGAGACTGTCTAACAAAGTGTGGATGAAAAATGCTTTGCAGCATTATTTTTGGCAGGGCCGCTCTATATAGTAACATTTTGAGAAAGCCATAAAAAGGTGTTGGTGTTTCACTACAGCTATTGCAGACGGAAGGCCTTGGCCTCATCTGGCTCCAGCTAACCTCACTACCAATGGGACCAGGGCAGTGCTGTTTCCTGCAGGGTATTTTCTATTATTTGGCCTCCTGTTCTCTCCCCCAGCCAACGGGTTTCCATTTTGAGTCTCATCACAGGAAGACACAGGCCACCTGTGATCTGACCACAAGGCCATCCAGTTCAAGTGTCTCAGGGAAGAGCGTAAGAACCCCATAAAGGGCAAATGTGGAATATGCTGCACCCTGCACCCAACACAGTCCTTAGGCCCAGAAACAGGCCGCTTCCAATTCTCTCCAAAGAATCCACCAGTTATGACAATCCTGCACTTTCCTGTAATGTGGATACGATGCCAACACTCGTGATATCTTCTGCAATTCTTCACCTCCTGCAACAATGAAGTCCACACTCCAAGAGGGTTGTGTTTTAAAGCCTTTCATTTGGTCATTTCCAAAATTCCCACTATTAATTTCACTGACCACAGAGGCGGTTGGTTGTGTTTGTCTCAAATCAGGCAACAGGGAAGACAGGGTGGTGCTGCAACCAGCTAGCCTTTAAAGGTGCTACCATGTCTTGCCCTCTGCCTTGCTGTGATCACATCCTCATTCTGCAAGACAGGGAACAGAAACACCCAATTTCCCTCATCTAGACTATTCATTATTTCACATATGAATATCATAGTCCCCTTCCTAATCTCTAGTTTTGTTTCTTACAGCCATGCATACCTATTATCCTCTCAGACAAAAAAAGTTGTTACAGCCATTTGCCTATATTTTATATAAGTGGAGAATTTATGAACAAAAGCTGAAAGCCTTCATATTAAACATTAGGAAAAATGGGTAGCATTTATCACATGGTCAAAGTTCCTGCAGAAAAGCAATACATTTTGAAACATTTATAAAACATCCAAGAGACCCTAAAAGCTATTCAGTGCTAACCCCTACTTTGTTGCAGGAAAGTGTTTCATACCTTTTCCTTTTACATTCCTGCAACTGTTAACGTAAAACCGATTTATGAAAAACTACAAGGAAAAAAAACACCCAAAAAACCCACACAACTTCTGTTGCTAACAGTTATTTGTTCACATTGATCCAATGTGGGTTTAGCTCCTTCTGAAGTATAAAGGACAAAGGACTCCGGTGAGAACAATGGGTACAGAAACAGCATAGTACAGAACATGACAAACAGATGCAGAGTTTTGTCACTCTATAGCATCCCTATTTTGTCTTGAACAGACTCTTTTGAGTGTCCAGAGGTGGGCCACAAAAATAAAGGTGCTGGAAGGTAAGATGTACAAGGAAAGGCTGATAGAACCAGGTACATCCAAGCAGCAGTAAAGGCAATTATGATGTGGATATAATAGCAGGCTTCAAATATCTGAAGGGCTACCATGAAAGACGAGAAGGAGAACAACTTTTGTCCCATCCCACAGAGGGCAGGATAGAAAGCAATGGCTTTAAGTGTCAGCAAAGTAAATGCACATTAGGTCTCCAAGGAAACCTGGTTTGAACAGCCTGCCCAGGGAAGTTGTGGAGTCTCCTTCACTGGCAGTTTTCAAGAGGAGGCTAGGTAAGCAGTAGACAGGGATGGCTTGGGAGTAGCATCCTGGGGGTTGTACCACACAACCCTTGAGGTCCCTTCCAATCCTGCCATTCTTATAGGGTTAGTGCCTTTATCTGCAGGAGCTTCTTTACATCAAGATTCAACCTACCCAATTTCTCTGGCTCGTCTGGACCTGTTCCAGCAATGCAGCTGCTCTCTAGTCCATAAGTTGGATCCACTTTGCCAGAGGCTCTTGCTGCTTCCTGCACTTTCTTGACATGGGCTTCAACAAGTTCCAGTGGTACCTCCTCTCGCACCCGAGAAAATTCCTCTGTTGAAGGATGAAGGAGAAATATTTCAACGTCAGCAAGTAGGTTTGCACAGATCCAGTTACAAACAAATCCAGTAACAAACTGATTTTCAATAAACTCTGAACTTTCTCCTTACTTGTCATAACGCAGACAATTTTCTTCCTCAAATGTGCTAATTAACAGTAGTCAAGTTAATGTCTCTTCCAAGCTACAAAAATGCAAGCTAGCATTTTTTTGTCCTTTATACAGGAATAGTCAGTGACTGAATAAGCAGGAACTATTTCTACGACATACCTCTAGGAAAGCCACAGTTAAAATAAGAAAAAAAATGCAGTAGCCACGATCTTTACCTTCATATTTTGGCACAAGATTGTAAGTCGGTGTTCTAAATGAAAAGAGTCTACAACGTGGAACCACGTACATTTAAACCAACAGTGATAAAAAAGCAGTGGGTGGCATTTATATACCGATTTACAGACATTAACTAATTAATGTTTCAACAGGTGAAGGTAGCAGAGTAGAGGGGAAATGAAACATCCTTCAAGTCCAAATATTTCTCCAAAGTGTGCAAGCTTGTGCATTGCCAGCTCATTTCAGCTTACGAGACAAATCAGCAAATATCCTTACGGATAACTCCTTGCCCATATTTTCAACATATCTGCTTTGGTTTTCAAACTACAATTAGCTGCATTTTGGGGAAACACTAGAAATAGCAGTTGACTTTGCTAGAGTTTAAAAGTCAGTCAATACCAAACACAACTTAGACCTTATAAAGCAAAACTGAATAGCCACAAGGACTTCATACCTAAAGCAGCTTTAGCTGCAGCGGACGCCACCCGGGGATCCACTACAGATGCCAGAAAAGCAACAGTGCTCATCACTGGGTTTCCGGACTGGCTGAAAGGCACAGGTTGGTAAGCCAGCGGGCCTAGAGATGCATCAGAGTTTTCCAAGTACGGGTCCTCGATGGGAAGCCTCAGAAAATGGAGAATACACTCATCCTGGGTACGGCTGCCAACATGCTCAGAGACCTTATTCCAGTCATCCTTGTACATCTCCAGAGCCTGTAAACGAAGAAGAACATGAGCATTTTGCATTAACTGTCTGGTAGAAAAAGACTACTTATTTGTTCACCCTCTCAGCTTGGTGGTAAACAGAACACTAACTTACCTGCAACGGAAAGGGCAGATGTGAGCAATGAAGTGGCCATCTGATACTTATGCCACAAAATATCAGAACTAGCAGAAATCTCAACACCTTTAGGATGAGAAGCAAGACAATGACTTGATCTTCCTCAGCATAAGAGAAAAACATGTGCAGCCTTTCATCTCATGAGAGTAGAGGAAGGAACCAAAGGTTTCCTTATACTGCTTGACCTACCTATTTCTGTAGCACACTTCAATACCACGGTAAATGGCTTGGCACATACATCTAGACCAAGCTCTCACAAGAGACTATTTGAAGGCTCAGGTGAACAAAAAAAGTTAACCAATAGAGCAAGTTTTGACAGAGGCACCAAGAACTAATTGAACCACAAACTGAACTACTCATCTTCTGATTCCAGTCTTCCAATTTAGCACTGAGGCACAAGATGCTTTAACAATGTTGTCCTCTAGGTACAGAGGATATCCGTTTCCAGGACCATATTTAACATAGTATTTTCACCCATATATAGATAGATAGATATCTATATAGATAGATAGAGAGATAGATATATCGTAAGTAGATTACCTTGATGCTGAGAGAATGTTATCGCTGAGCTATCTACTGCTGTAAAAATGATTTCCTTCAGGCTTGAGAGGCCAGGATCCTGTCTACAGAGCCGTGCATTCTACAAATTATGGGTCGAAAATATAAATGTAATTATATCTATCTATATAGATAGATATAGTTATATTTTCGACCCATAATTTGTAGAATGCACGGCTCTGTAGACAGGATCCTGGCCTCTCAAGCCTGAAGGAAATCATTTTTACAGCAGTAGATAGCTCAGCGATAACATTCTCTCAGCATCAAGGTAATCTACTACAACAGGACAATTGGGGATGTCAGGGATGCTAAGAGTTAGCTGGGAAAGACAGAAGAGAAGCACGCTTCTCTTGTCAGAGATTAACAAGGAGAATAACAAGATAATCTAACAAGGAGATTAACAAGATGAGCAGCTGAGTTGAAATGTTACAGATTCACTGTGCACTGAACAGCTTGAAGGGGGGGAAAAAAGGAAGATGCACCAAGGGGCCTAAGATCAGGGCTGCTAACCCAAGAGGGTTTTTTTTAAATTGGTAATTTGCCTATTCTATTTTTTACTAACAGACACACTTTTTCACCGACATGTGTTTTCACTGTCAGTAAAAAAAAAAAAAACTTAGCTTGGCAGCCTGTACAGCAGCAGCAGAGATTTTACACCATGCTGCCCCCACTACAGGGGTCCTCTACTCAGCCTATACCCTGACATGCCCAGCTGTACCCAGCACCATGCTGCTTCCCCAAGTGCATTCCCCAGCCTTACCTACACCAGCTCTGTTACCTTCATCCCAACACAGAACCCCTATCCCCTCTTCCCAGCCAGCCCTGTATTTTCTCGTGACCAGGATAGTGTTGGAGGTTCACGTCAGTCAGAAAGCCCTGACAGTTCATTATGTTACATAGTGCTTCTACTTAGAAACAGGCAGCACTGCTCCTCTCCCTGTCGAGCATCATCACTTGCCCTAAATGTAGTTTCAGGCTAGCAATGAATCTTGAAACAAGCTCAAGGCTTCTTAATTTTATGTAGGCAAAATTAGTCTTTACACACTTTATGTACAGGTGATTTTACTGACAGTTAAGATGTCTTTTTGTTTTGAGTTTGTTATATGCGGTTTAGTTTGGTCTTGCCAAAATTCCTGCACCCATTTCTCCTGCAAAAGGTTAAAGCTACTGTAGCTAGACTTGGTAAAAGACTGTCTGAAGGATCTTTGTCCCCTTGTCCCCAAATGTAGGATAAGTAGCTGGGCAAATCTCACACACAACCAACCTATTTAATACCCCAGAGTACGTGCTCTCTGTCACTATAGCTTTAGAAGCTGGATGGTTGGAAAGATAAATAAGGAAACTCCCCAACAAGCTGGGAAACTACCAAAACCTTTTGGGGTTTTTTTTTAAAGCTCTTCTGGAAAAATGCATTGAATCCAAGAAGTTAAAAACTGGCATTATTCTACTATTTTGTCAGGCCCACGCTACGGGGGTCAATGCAAGAGTCCAACTTATGATACTGTGCTCTTGTGCCTTGTCTAGTCTTGCTTCAGATCTCTAAAGCAGCGGGGCTTTTATCCCTTCCCTTGTGAAGCAATTCCAGTGCAAAATGAGTACTGGCACAAAGTAATATTTCTTAATATTCAGCCTATATTCTACTTTTCCAAATTTTATCTCATTACTGTTATTTCTATGTCACTTTCCATCCTCACCCCACTTGCCCATCTTCAGACAGGGTTAAAAAGCTAGCCTGGGACGTAATTTTGCTTCACAATGCAGTGTTGTAGTCCATTCTATTTACTTTTGTTATTTTTCTGTAGTATGAATATTTAATTTCCCACCACTCTTGCCCTTCCATATGAACATCTGAAAAACACTCTCATAACCACATAAGACAGTCCTGCATGGAGATGCAAGTGAAAAAAGAGAATGCTGATGCTGGGAAGGAAACAATTTCTCTCCCTCTAGTCATTTGGTCAACAGACAGGAAGACAGTAATCATCATGGATAAGACATTCTCTGTAACTTTAGTGCACAGATTTGTCCAAAGCTACCTTGAGGATTTAATTGGATGAAGTTGACTTGTTATATAGCAGGTTAGTAAAGCTTGAACTGATATTTCTCTCTACTGTTTTATTTATAGGTTAAAAGACAAAGAGACCAAATAATGTTTAGTTTAAACTGTACATTACTTAGTAGGTTTGTTAGCAGAGAACTCATTAACTGTTTACCAAGTGTGCACTGAATTTGGGATATTCTGTTGGGGTGTTTTACTGCCACTTTCACACATCCTACATACTGCACCTTCCGCTACAAATGTAGAGGGTCTGTCTGGATCAAATTAGCTACCAAACAGCTTTAACCAAGCTTGAAAGTTTTATTTATTGCAGGCAGAATGAAATTTCTGAGGCATAGGTTTTGGTCGCTATTCATCACTTCATTATGTCTATACCACAGAGCACACATTCTAAGCTACTGAGGCAATTATTACTAAGGTAACTGTAAATAGGATATTGGTTTTAATGTTTTCCAACCAGCACAAAACATTTAATTCATTTAATCTCAGAGCTCACCTGTTGGTTGAATTACAAATTAATAGAGTTCACAATAGTATGAATTGTAAATGTTAATGGCAGTTTTAATACAGAAAGACATTACATTGCATTATAACTCATTATATTTACACAGTGTATGCCCAAACACCTCTGCTACTTAGCTATTCCTGCTCTTTAAACATAGTTTATTGCTGAATAAAATAAAAACACTTACCTGAAAGACAGGGTATGTCAATCTAACATGAGACAAACTATTCAGGCTGTTTTACTGAGCCCCCTTGGGTCCTGGCAGACACTGATTTCATGGTCTGACGGGATCTGGTCCAAATAATTTTGCACTGTGCCATGCCATAGATACATGGCAGGATGCATGATTTTTTGGGATTAGAGATAAAAATCTGTCAGATTACACTCATGCATCTGCTGACCTAGGATATCCAGCATCAGGATCTGGTTCCCTTTCAACTCACTGGTGTGCAAGGAGCCCAGGATCACAATCCCAGGCTCTACACCCACACCAACAAGTTGAAAGCCACATGCAGTGTAGGGCTGTCCTGCACACAGGTTTAAACCTTCTGGGCAGGGAGGCCTATCTGGCACCTGTAAACCCGCACAGTGGGCAACCCCTTGCCACGTTCAATTTAAAGCATCATACACACCAGCCACAAAGATGTTCCACATCAAATATGGAACATCTTTGTAGCCAATTTGCCATGTTATGGTCTTTTAACTGGCTGAATGTGTAGCATGCTACCATTCACCAAATAATAAATGTATTGTCTGCTAGGGCCCTGCACTTTTAAAGACTGAATTTACTACATAATTGGGCTTATTCACAAAAGGTAAAGTGTAAATTAAAGAGCCGTAATACGAAGAACAAAGCATTAGTGAAATTTGGAGTCCATGATTTTTCTAAAGGTCACAGAATTTGGCAGGGGGGTTTCTGACTGATTACATGGCTAAAACACCAGAACATAACTACCCAATAACCCTCTATTTGGATTAAATGACTCAGCAGAAGTAATGGCCTGGAAAAATTAAAAGCTGTTAGATTTGGCTATTAACAGGGGAAAACATGTTAGGAAAAGTCAGATAGATATAGAACCTTTATACTACAGACACAAGGATGATAATACCACAAATTCAAGACTTTTGATTCCTCCAGGCCAGATCTTTGTACTAGATATTCCCCCTTTTCCTTCCAAACACAAGGCCTGCATTTGTACAGTATCTAACACAGTGAGCTCCAGTCCAATACTGGGGTCCTTAAGTACTACCAAATAAGCATCTGATGACTTGAGTAATAACACAATTCAGCAACTCCAGATCTTTAATATTTTAGGAAAACATCTTTGGCTGACGTACCATCTCGTACCCAATTCCTTAAGCCATTACCAGCAGTTGAAAAGAGAGCGTTAAGTACAGTTTTGACGTCAAGAGGCTGAATAAATTCAAGTTATGGCTTTCCTATGCAATTATACAAATTCGTGGCCACCTCATAACTTGCACTTCTTATTAAATGGCAACGAAGCAGAAAGCTATTAAAACACCTAATAGAATCATTTATATGCCAGAAACAGATAAGCTTCAAAAGGGAATATTAGCAGCTTCTTCTAACACCCTGGAGCACAGACGGGAAGCTGTGAACATTATCAGGACCTTACAATGCTCACCTTCCTAGCAAATACCAACATGGCTCCAAAGGCACATCTTCCACAGCTTTAATTCCACATTAGCAACATTTCCTCTACCTAGAGAACTCACTGCACAGCAAGATAAATTTGAGCTTATTAAGACGCTCAAAAAATACCAAAGTGAAGATTTTGGGGCTCCAGACACAAAGCACATGCCAGTGAAAGCTGAAGGAATTTTATATAAAAGCTAGATTTCTTCAATTCATGATGAGTCTAGACAAATGAACAGCAGCAAGCATGGGTTCTATCAACTATCTGCCTACTTTTCACAACAAAGACGTTACTTTTAGCACACAGGTCAAGGCCCAGAGAATATTCTCATTCCAGATATTACTCCTCTGTATTCCAATTATTCACTGGGATTCCACAACGTTCTCCTTACCTCTAGTAGCAGTAGTGTTTCTTGTTCTGTCCATTCTCTTCCAGCACTGGCTCCTTTGCTCTATGAAAGGGAGAAGTCAAGATTGATTTACTTATCCTTGTGGAGAACGACTTTGAGCAAGCCATTTCTTGTAGGACATGTCTATCTGTTAATCTCTCTCTTCATAGAGATGCTCCTGTAATTGAATCTCTTTGCTAACCCTAGAGCAGTGGTTCTCAACCATTTTAGTACCAGGACCCATTTGTAAAGATCGATGGCCAGTCCTGACCAACAACCCCCTGGCACTGCTGGTGTCTGTCACTCCTGACCTGCAGCCCCTGGGCCATACTGGTGCCCCTCACTCCCAACCTGCAGTCCCCTGCCTCCCCCAGCCCTCTGAAGTGAGGCCCAGTAGAAGCAAAAACAGAAAAATCCAAGCACCCTCACCTTTGCTAAGGTCTTCTTTGAATAAATGTCTGTGCGGAGTCCAAAATTCTGCAGGTCAGTGGGCTTTTCTTTGTTTTTTTCAGGAAAACTCAACATCTGCTGAGCAGCAGGGACCTAAGAACAAGCAGTAAGGAGAGGGGGTCAAGACAACAATCATTTGTCCAACATTTTCATAGCAAACACAAGGACTGAACCAAAGAATTTCTCTTGAGCAATGTACATAGGGATGCACTGGAGGAGCATTTCCCTTGCTCTCCATTACACACACTATTGGTAGATTTGGCTTTAGAGCCTTGAAACTCTGTGCAATGTTACTGTACAGAATGAAAAAGGTAGAAGCAAGTTGGTATAACCAGAATGTCTCAGCCTGAAATATGGATGAGAAGGATGCATTTCTTCAGCCCACACACAAATTATCTACTTCAGTCCAGCATCGAGAAGCATGGACTAGCTAAAAATACAAGTATGCCAGGACAAGAGAAAGCCACACCCAATATGCAACACTGCTGCCCAAGTCTGAAGAAGTGAGTAGCCTCAAGTGTGGTGGTGTCACCTACTGAGTTTACCTGAGGAGTTCGGATATGGAGAGGCATGAGTCCAGAGGGAGTATCTGCAAGCACGTTGAAATGAGGAGTAGGAGGGGGGCCCATGGCCATAGGACGGCTTTCTGGATCCACTTGGTAGTTAATGAGACCCCACTGCTCCAGAAAGGCATGCACCCTATGGGACAACAATTTCAGGAGATGATGACTCAAACACCCCTGGCCTTGCAGGGAAGGCATTTGAGTTGCACCTGTGATGAATGTGTGAAAAATACCTGTAGGGCAGCTCAGAGCCCTGTGCAACTCCTATGACCTTTCATTATCAAACAGGGAAACTTAACGCATCACATGAATTCTCTACATAAGCCCGACAATCTTATTTCTCTGAATTCAACAAATATTTCAGTCACTGGTAGAATTAGAGAAAAAGATGGGGCTGGAAAGGATTTGGAAAGGTGCTAAACTTTAAGATAGAAATTTCTTCCTAATATCTGAATACAACTCTCCCTTGTTGCAACTCAAGGCCATTATTTCCTGGCTGGTTCCCTCTGGGCACAGAAAACAATCATCATGTTTATAAATTCACCATTTTTGTACTTCAAGACTTACTGAATCCCCTTTCACTTCTCTCTTCTGGATTTAAAAAGAAAAAGCCAGTTCTTCCAATGTTTCCTCACAAAAAACCAAAACTGTGTCTTGACTATATGAAACCTTTTTAGGGAAGAAAGTTTGCACACTAGGCATTTGCTGGCATTAACTATTAACCCTACAGGTTACTAAGCTTCACCGATGCTGCATGTACGAAGTCTAAAGTGTTTTAAGATCTTTGGTATAGAAATTACCATTAAAAAAAGGTCACTGCAAGATGAGGTCACTTAAAACAGACACCAAGTAAAAGTGGAATGGAGAAACTGAACATCACTGTACCAGTGAACACCTCACTGGACAGCAGAAGGCTGCATGCTTCAATAGCGTCTACTGTAAAAAAAAATAAAAATAAAAAAAATTATACTAGAAAACGTATACAGACTCGATGATCCAATAGGTCCCCTCTGACCCTAAAATCTATGAAATCAATGCAGTAGTCACCAGAAAAAGAAAAAATAGTAAGCCAGTAAAAAAAACAGTGGTTGTCACCCAGGCCTCAAATCTCTTAACTCAGTCCCAAAAGAGCTCCTGACATGCAACCTGTAACCGATGAGCTCTGCTGACAGAAGCAGGGATACAGCCCAAGATGAGCAGATGCAAGATTTGCGGGTCTTACCTCATTACAGCACATACGTCTCCGGTCAGGTTCCGTCGGCAAGCAGTGCTGGTCAAGTACTCCTGAGGGTTCAAGCGATACGTATCAATCATGAAGTTTCGGTAAGCCAGGTATCTGGAAGAAAGGACAGAGCTGGTATTTGAAAGTGTACACAGACCTCTACTATGCTCTGCTTCAATTGTGGATACTATGAAAGCACCTTCAGGTCGCCTGCCTCTTTAGCTTCCCTTCTTCAATACACATAGCACATCATAGAGGCCTCACATTCAGTTCAAGGCTGATGAAGTCCTAAAAACACATGCCACGATCATCCTTGCCATGTAATGGCAGAGTGAGAGCAAAGCTGATGAATTGCAAGGTTTTATTTTTACGGCCAGCGAACTCTGCCAACAAGCTTTAATACAAAAGCAAAAGGCAGCTGAAAATATTTTTAGAGCAAATGCTTTATATGCCAGCATCTTAACCAATGCCTCTGCATGTTGTTTATTTAAATGTATTATGTCCATTTAGATTGTATAGAGGGGCCATATGTTTAGCAATAAATAGAAAGTGACAACTTCAGTTTATTTGGTTAGCAAAAAATATGCTAAATAAATTTAGTTCTCATATTGCCAATTTAATTTCCATTGTTCTGTGTTATAAACAGACAGAAAGTTCACTCAGTGAAAAATCCGATTCTAAAAGTAAGAACCGAGTCTGATATTCAGAATGGCTAGAAATATTAACAGCCCATGAAGTTTTTATTTTTCAGTACAGGACTGAATAGCACACCAAAAGGGAAAGCAGACATCTCTTCCTTTGCCTCTGTTCAGGCTACGATAACCAAGGTGCTGCTCCAGTGTACGCTGGAGCACACACTTGCTTCCTCTTATCCCAACAATTTCCTGTGAATTAAGTATGAAAGATTTCAGCCATGAAAGAGCTCCAGAAGAAAAATGACTAGAACAACAGCTTCCTTCTCTTTGCATTCTTTCCATGTATAACAATGAGAGAGAAAAAACCCACATACAAAACATGAAAACTAAAAATAGCAAAGGAAGACAAGTGAAGAATGGAAGAGAGGACAAAAAACACCATGAAGATGGAGGGAAAGACTGCTATTAACTGTAAGTCTGACATGCCTCCATTCACCCTGAAGCACAGAACTGCCAAGTTTGGAGACAAAAGAATTTCCCTGATTTCTTTTGTCTGAAGCCATCTCCCTGCAAGCTGGTGCTTACCAGCGCAAGACAGGACAGAAAACCCTAGGAGCAAAATATCCAAGCTTCTGATGCATGGTGGCACTAGCTCATATCTGCCCAAGTGACATCACCCACTACCCTCTTCTCATCTTTGAGCTGCACAAGGAAGGCTTCTCTATGAAGGCTGTTTAAAAATAAAAGAAGTAAAATTTCATAAAATAAATATGAACATGTAATCTTGGGATGTGAACAAACCCTAGAATATGGTACCTCAAAAACAACCCCACATTAGGAGATAGGTGAATCTCCTGCATAGAAATACCTTGCAAGTAGTGTGCTACAGGCAAATGCCCTTCTATTAAAGAGTAAGCAACATAATTTGCATAAAACAGGTGCAAGGACAAGCTCAGGTAGTTCACTGAATAGGTCAAGGCCTAATAAATACCAAGAACAGATGTACAAGCAAAAAGGAGGAATGAGAGGCCCCTTTCAGAAGCCTGCTGGGCGGACAGGAGACCCTAGAGGAATATTTCAGACCCTTTTTGCATGCCATGTCAGGGGAAAAGTGCAGCTACGCTGCTGAACTCCAAGATGAAGATCCCAGAGGCTCGTCCTGGCACCACTTGGTCCTGAACAGTGCGAGAAGCAGCGTGACTTGCTAGGTGTACTGCCAGCAGCAAGAGGTGCAGTCAGGCAGCTGCTGCAATCTACTCTGCAACAGAACCAGCTAAGAGCAGGTATCAGAAGAAAGAACCTGGATGAACTTCCTTGGGTCTTTGCTTAGTCTGAGCAAAATCAGCACAGCCAGATTTCAGGTCAGAGCAATTGCATCTCCAAAATAATCTGGGGTTATAGGGATGGGCCTCCATAGTTTACCCCAATATGTAGCTGTACCTGGCTACCACTGCCAGCAATGCTGATCAACATCCCAGTCTTCTGCAGACATTCTGGATTTTGGTCTGAACTGAAAGGGATCCTGAGCTCCTTCTCATGCGGCTACAGCCCAAGAGCAGAGGTACTGGGTAATCCAGCCCTCAACCTGGAAGCTGGCATCAGAGCATAAGTCCTCCCTCATCAAGAGGCAGCTCAGGAACAAAGATGTTAATAAAGCAGCACAGGAGGGGACCCGTATCTTTCTCACTACTTGGCAATGGGGCCAAAATGCTTTTGCCTATGCACAGCAGCTCAGATTTTTATTCATCCTACTGGAACCCCAGCTGTCTGCAAGCAATAATACCCCAACATAGAACCTCTCCCCAAATTATCTACTATAAAAGGCAATCACTTATATCGATCCAGAACACCCCTTCAGATGCAGCTTGCATAACATTTGTTAGAGGGAGTTTACCTGCTGAGCAGAAAACTCCGCTTCCAAATGATTCTTGGTGTCAATGTTAAAAGTTCTGGGCTCAGACTCACAGGCATGGACAATTTTCTCTATCTCTTGAATCAGAGCAAGCAACAGTAACTGATGTATGTCTCTTGCCTCAGCCTCACAAAGATAAAAAATCTTAAGATGGGGAACAAGCAGGAGAAGCTTGCTCTCCTGCTTGCAAGTAGTAGAATTGACCTGGTTGGCCTAGTGGAGACATGGTGGGATGAAAC